CAAGATGGCGCAGGTTGAGGCCTCTTAAGCATTCGGTTACAAGAGGATAATTCGAAGCGGTAAGGGGGAAACTCTCCACAAGGTCACGAGCACGTGATTTTTCCGCAGTGCTCTGAATTAAATATACAAATTTGGCTTCTGCTGATAAATCTGGGACATCATTAATTTTTTTAAACAAACTCCAAAATCCAATCCACCCTTTAATTAAAACATCATACTTTGGTAATTCTATCTTCGGTAATCTAGCAGTCTTTTTATTTACCGATTCAGTAAAGGTATCATTATTATTTCTCAACAGTTGCTGACTGAGCAAATCCTTAGTTAAACGCTCCACTTTCGTTTTGAGCATAACGTATTTGTCTGCATACGAAGTTATTTTTTCATATTCAGAATGAAAGTCGTGTAACGCACATGCATTAGAAAAGTTCTGTTTTGGGGGTTGCATTTCCGACACTATTCAAATGATTTGCCACAATAGTTTAAAATTTAAGTATGCATTTAATGATTAAAAGCAGCTTTTAACTTGTAATTTTAATACACAAGCTTTAGAAAAATTTAAACGGTAAAATTTTAATTTCTTTATTAAATAATTAATACAAATCAAATATTATTTAGCCGCATATTTAAGTTTGATACTAAGTTTTCCTGAACTTTGATGGTATACTAGATAATTACCTAATAGTTTTAGTGTTAGTATTTTTTTGAATACTGATATTTAATTATAGCATTTAATAATAAAATAAATGTTCATTACAGGTTACAATAAAACAAGTTCCAGAAGCCATGCGATATTCCAAATAAAGATTATCCAAGCAAGTGTAGACGGAAAAATAACTGCAGGCAAGCTCCTATTAGTCGATTTAGCTGGAAGTGAAAAAGTAAGTGAAATAATACACTCCAAATACACGTTTTGTTACATATAAGAAAGTCACACTATAGAATAAGCTACAATTGAACTCTGATTTAACAATTCTCATTTTATCCATTTTCCTCCCTTAACGATTAAAACGTAGGCTAACGGCTACCGAAATCCGAGTTAGTTCAAATACGGAAAGTGTGTTATAGCAAATTTTTTCCCCAGACATTTTATTCTTTTTAGATGAATTTATGAAAAGACATAAGAGAGAAATTCATTTGTGTATTTATCAGAACCTTTGTTTAGATATGAAACTTAAAAATAATCAGAATACCGTCCCATATCCGGACGTCCCTTTCCCGGACACTTTTTAACAATCAAAATAAACAAACATCTCTCCATCCCCTTTCCTTAAATAAAAAAAAGAAGAAAAAAAGAAGACACATTTTCTCTTTTCCGCATCGAACCCATGAATCACCAGAAAGGGGAAGATCTACCAAGACGCTCCTCCCTTGGAATGTAGGAAAAAGAGAGAGATTTGTTTTCAAAAGACCGCAACTGAGTCCCCTCCTTTCCCATGCAGGTGGCTAGTAAAAGAGGCATTTCCTGGAACCTTTTTATTGAAAGAAGAAATACTGTGGAAAAGGGTAAACGGGGCAAGCGTTAAGGTGGAGTCAAAATGGAAAATTTGAATAGGTCTAAAAGGATATAAGTCCTTGAGAAACAAAACATTCGTTCTTCCCCATACCATGTAATATTTAGGAGGCGGGGGGAAAAGGGGGTAACATTCTCTCTTTAGCAGATTCTTTCAGTCATAGAAGAAAAAATAAAGAGAACCCGATCAGCGTGCCCCGCCTTTATGCTTGATTGATAGCCAATGATTGGAGAGAAAACAATAATTTGTTACTTCCCCACCCTCAACTTAAATGATCTCCTCTTTACACTTATTTTCTTTCACAAATAAGGAGGAAATGAATTTTTCACCTCCACCTACCCACTTTAATGAATGACGGGATTTCCCTTTCTTGCTTCAATCATTCTAGTTAAAAATGGCGGATTATTATTTTCATATGTCAATTTTTTTTCGTTTTCTATATTGTAAGCAATAATATTTTTTTTGTAATATTTCATATTTTATTGATTAGATATTCTAATACTAAAACATTATTCCCCTTAAAAATAATGTTTATTTATTTTTTGCTTCTTAGATTTAGATCATTTTAAGCTTTGTTCCAGAATGACATGAATTTCCCCTTCCTGCTTGAATCGTTCTAGTTCAAAATGGCGGATTAATATTTTCATAACTGTTAAATTTTTTTCGTTTTCCATATTTTCAGCAATAATATTTTTTTTCTAATATTTTATATTTGATTTAGATATTCTAATGCTAAAACATTGTTCCTCTTAAAAATAACGTTTATTTATTTTTTGCTTCTTAGATTCAGATCGTTTATTAAATCATTTTAAGCTTTGTTTACCTCGGGGGTCTATTATACGGAAAAATCTATTATACTGACTTCTGGAAGTCCCACCGATTCCGGATACGCGACTTTACACTGTAGTGTATTTTGCGGGGGTTCATTCGAACACTAGATCTTGGTAGTGTTTGTTTTGCATGGTATTTTCTTGGTATTGTTGTTGATTAAGTGGGCATTGCTTATGAGTTAAAATAAAATATACAAGCCAACTTTATGGATGCTTTATATGTTGTAAGACAACACTTTAACCAAGTTTCTGCAAAATATGGTCGAAAAATGCTTTCAAAATTTGGAATTTCTAAGCACATCTGCAATAAATTCGCTCCATTTCTAGAGGCAGAATTAAATATGTAATCCATTTTCTAATTATGGATATTTTTGTGTCGTTAAATATTAAGACTGTTCCAAAAAGCTATTGTAAAAAAATTTTTATTTTGGTCCCCCATATTAAGATAACCTCTGGTATTGCGAATGGATTTTTAAGTTATTACGAGTTCTTTAAATCTAGGTCTTACTCTATATACATATTTCTATAATGTTTGTTTCTTTATTTTAATTTAGCTGGAACAAAGTGACTCAGCAACCAAAAAAGAATCAAACAACATAAATAAGTCACTTAGTGTTTTGTCTCGTGTAATTTCTGCATTAACTAGTAATACAGTAAGTAAATATTTATTTCTTATCTATTTATTTCTATCTGCCCAACAAAATCGTCAATTGTCTAGGACAGTGGTTCCCAACCTTTTGCGGACCATCGCCCCCCTCTTGGGGTTGGCTGACACATATCGCCCCATTCTCTTTTTGCTCAAAAAAAACCACTCATTGTTGCTTGTGAGCAGCCAAACACTGAAAATATGCTATGTTATTTGATTTTAATTTAAATTGTAATGCAAATAAGGAGGCACATTTATCCTGTCATTTTTATTAATTAAAAAAAAATTGTGCATCTTTTTTTTTTCAAAAAGAAATGATATTTAAAACGGAATAATCAAAACAAAAGTAAATTTTTTTAAATTAATATTTTAATGTAATCAAGAAAAAGTTAAAACGTTAACAACTAAAATTTGAGAAAAAAAATGAGGAGGGGGAAAATACATTTTTACCACTTTAATCACTGCCCTGTGCTTAGCGTATTTCAAGTAAAAGCTTGAATGTCAGGTTTTATGCTCGTCAGATTTAAACGCGAGTCTCCTTTGAATCAAATGTCCAACCTATCTCCTTAATTTGTGAGCAGCTGGAAGACAGAACTAAATCCTCTCTCCACTAAATAGGTTGACGGGAACGAGATGAGAAGCGGCTCAGTTTGTTTCCACAATTGTGGATAAGTGTCCATAAGCTTTACCCAAGCTAACTCGTAACCGTATTTTTTAAAGACGACATAAGCCTCACAGTCATACTTCAAATCTGAAATCTCAGTCTACAAAGAGGAAGTGAGCTTATCCACAACTTCAAAAGAGAAAGGATCGAAAAGCCAATCCGGAATTTCTAATTTCATCAAATCTTAAAGTCATGATACCATAACTGATCAAGGTGATCCGTAAAAATTAAGATTTTATTTTCAAGGATCTCGATATCTGCCATTGAACACTTTTTAAGAGTTGGAAATTGCATTAGCTCTTTGCGATCAATGTTTGACTTGTAGATATCAAACTTGGCGATGAATGAAGATATGATTCCCTTAGCCTTGATAATGTTCATTTTATTTCCTTGAAGTTTTACTTGGATTTCGTTTATTTTTTCGAAAATATCCGTGAGGTACGCAGTTTCTAACGAATCCAGCAATTCGAAGAAACGGCTCAGTTTCCTTCTGAAAGCCATCTCACAGCTGTATGTAGGAGCAGGAATTCGAAATCTTCATTTTCATGGCAAAGCTCTCGGAACAAACGGTTATTAGGAGAATTAGCTTTTATTTTATTGATGCCAGAAATAATCAATTTTTCGCAGCCAAAAGTTGACGATGAATGACATAATGAATGGTGAGATAACTTCCGGTACTTCTTTTTTAAGGTGACCCAGAAACCCAGTATGACAACCAGACATGGTTGGAGCACCATATGTTGCACAAGCACTTACATTTGTGAGGGGAATTTCTTTTACCTCAGAATATTCTTTGACCAATTTAAAAATCGACGATCATTTTGTATCTGTGTTCAAAATTCTTGTAAACAACGTTTCCTCGTTAATCTCCTTACTCTCATTTATGAATCTCACGTAAGCTAAAACAGCTTTGTTATCTATCACAATTGATTCATCAACCTGCAACGCAAATTTACCTTCTTTCAGAAATTTGATGAGTATTGATTCAACGTCGGCTGCCATCTCATCAATACGTCTGGAAACAGTATTATTGCTCAGAGGAACAGAGTGACTTATCACATTTCCGCCTGCGATACCAAAACGTATGACGAAAACGATCCTGCACTTGAATTTTTTTAAATTTTTAACTATCATAATTCTTTGTTTACACCAGAACCATAGGTTTCATATATATTTTCAATTTCAATCTTCATCAATAGCTTCTATTATTAATATTATTAGCAATTTTTATCTTTTGAATACTCGTCGCCCCCTGATCGCCCCCCTAAGGATTATCGTCCCCCATGAGAAGCTCTATCGCCCCCTTTGGGGCGATCGCCCCCAGGTTGGGAACCACTGGTCTAGGACATTATCGGCAGCTATAGTAACAAGGTTAAACTACTAAAAAGCAGGGAATAGTCCATGTTTTTTACGAAAACCGAGAAAATTCCTACAATATACCTGGAAAATAACCAGTCATATAATTGCCAGTAACAGTAATCAGTTATTGAGACTATAGTTAAATAATTCTAGCACTACAATTATTAGTCACATTTTAGTTAAACTGCCATATTACCATCCTCATTCAATAATATGTTTTTTGTGCTTATATAATCTAATATTTGGCATTTACAAACATAAAAATGGTTTTTTGATGAAAAATTGCTCTGTAATGATAAAATAGGGTCTAGATTTTCATTGAAATTTGCCTTATATTCCTGGAATAGTCAAGTAATTTTTTTTCTGAATTTGAGTGGAGATCCTGTTGAAATTGCGCGAATTATTCTCCTTTGAAATTTTAAGAATTGCCAAAAGGCATTTGATATACGTTTAAAACAAGCCCGACCATCATTTTACACAATAATTTAGTTAACTATTCTAAATGTCACACATCATTCTCCAAATTTATTCACCAACTAGCTGCAGATTGGTGTAAGCTTTATGTATTCATTATTGGTGGTAAGATTTAACTACACTCTTTGACGTATGTAATAATGCTTAATTCGTTATTAATTTTATATAAAATAATCATTCACACAATTTACAGAGTTTTTCAACACCAAATTTGTTGTTTTCTTAGGCCATTAAGGGATTGGGAGTGCGATTGTTTTTGTTTTCCAGTGGCGCAATCTAAGGCCGAAAATTCGACTTCTACCAATCCCGTTTATACAATGGGCCCATTCATGCATCCATCCATCCACATATCGCAATTTTGACCTGAATCAGAGTGCAATCAGTCTAAAATCCTGTATCCCCAGAGGTATAATTTGTTAAGGGAATATAGAGGACTTTGTTACCCGACAGATTTAGCTTACACCTGTCACCACTTACTGTACTTTGCTAGCCGGCTGGATTCTAACTTCCTTTCTCACGAGAGCGAGTCAAGCGCCCTACCAACCAGGCTATCCCGACCCGATTCCAAATTTGGAGAGATATTATACCTCTGTTTCTACAATGCAGACAGTAAACATGTGCTGCAGAATACAAAATTTTTTTGTATTTATTCTTACTGTTAATTACACCAGGAGACAAGAACTAGTTGCTAGTCAAATTTAGTGATCATTTTCATATAAAGCTTATTTAGGCCTCTTCACTCTGTCTGCATATTGGACAATAAGATAAAATTTTTGATTTTGGTAAAAAAAATATTTGAATATTTTTTTTTTATCGTAGGATATATTATAGCATTCATACAATTGGAAATTAAATTATAACTTTAATACACTACATAAAAAATAGCTTGACCATTTTTAAACCAACTTCCCTGGATTTTTTTCTCAAATGTAAAGCAATAAGATTACATTAGTGTTTTTACGTGAATAATTTTATAACAACTCTAAACATAAAATATTTAATAACAAAAAATCTATTTATGTACGATCAATTATATTATAATCAATTCAGTATAAGATCAAAATTTTGATTTTGGTAATTTTTTTTTTTAATATTTTTTTTTGAGGATATACTATTTATTTATTCAATTGGAAATTAAATTATGACTTCACTAGACTATATGGAGAAGAGCTTTACCATTTTTAGAACTTCTCTATATTTTTCTCAGCTGTAAATCAATAAGATTACATTAGTGGTTTTACTTGAGTACCGGTGGCTGTGCGGTAGTGCTTCGCGCTGTCGTGCCACAGGTCCCTGGTTAGATCCTCGGGCCGGGCACGGAACATCTGCTCTTACATCCCAGAGCCCAAGGTCAAGAAAACTGAGATGGGCACAGTAGGCCTTGGCCCTCTAGGGCTGTCGCGCCGCTGAGTTCAGTTAATTTTATAACATCTCTAAAAATAAACAAAAAATAATTTATTACAAAAAATCAATTTAAATTCTAGAATAACGTGTAAATGATATTTCCAATTTCAATTTTGTGATGACTTTAAATTTTGCATATTTCAAAATATTGTTCAAGTGGAAAAAATCTGGCCTCTTAGTGCAATAAAAGTCTTATTGAAAACATATTTAGAAAGTAATTGTGTTTTTATTCTTAGAAGGAGTTACCTCCATATAGAGAGAGTTGTCTTACGAGATTGCTGAAGGAGAGCTTAGGTGGAAACGCCCGAACCATCATAATGATTTGTATTAGACCTTCATCTAAAAGTGAAACGAAACATTCAATGGAATTTGGAATTCGGTAGGTGTTGCAAGTTTATTTATTATTTTTTAATACAATCAGACACTTAAGTGTCTAATTGAATGCCTATTTGAATGACGAATTAAATGCCTATTGATATTCGAAATTATGAGTAAACATGATACATAAAATTTCAAAATGTTTAATGTCAATCATAACTGAAAAATATTGCAATTTTTCTATTTTGATGACTATAAAAATCCCTTAAATTCTCTGTGTGTAAAATATTTAGTACATTATGCAACAGTTATCATGAAATTTATATTATTTTGTAAAATCTAGAGGATTTTTTTCGAATCCATGCTGACACTATTTTTAAAACAGACAACCTGAAATTCTAAGGGAAAACACTGATAAACCCGGAAATCACAAGGGGATTCGTTATTATTTTTTGATATTAACAGTATAATGGCAGCACTCATTTCACAATTATTATTATGCGGGTAAACGTTTTTGAATAAACATTTATCTCATAAAAACTTCTTTTAACATTAAATAAATGTTCTAATAAATATTAATAGTTAATAATTTTATTATTTCCCTATTCTAATGAACAAACAATTATTTTAATCTAAATGTTTTAAAAAAATAAAAGAATAAACAGTAATTTATATTAATTTGCGTTTAGAACATTTTAATGAATTTCAGTAAATATTGCGAAACATTAGACATGAAATAATGCACAATTTTTGCTCAAAAAAGAAATTTTTCATTTTTAGGGAAAAGTTTTGAATCAATCTGTAAATTCTTATTACATGCGTATAAACACATGCAGAGATAAGTAATTTGTTTTTATTTCTATTAAAAAATTTTATTTTTAGTTATGAAATAATTTAGCTTTGAAACTTTTCAAGTTTCTTTCTGAAAATCGCAAGGAATTGGGTGTGTGGGGGAAAAGTGACCGCCTAAAGAAACTATTTGAAAAATATTTTTTGATAATACTGACAGTAACTCTACAATTTAATATAACAACGCTAATATAGATATATTGTTTTCATTCTAGAGCTAAAAGTTTACAAATAAACATGCCGAAGAAATGTCGATCAGAACTGTCCGAACTAAGAGAATATCAGAACTTATCTAAGAACTATATAAAGAAGACGAGTTATGAGCTGCAAAAATGGCGAAGTGGTAAGCTTAGTATTATAATTTTTTTAAACTTTTTGCTTTTAAATAAATGTAAAAATTTGATTAACTCCTGACTGAAGTGTTTTCGGACAAATTTGCCTTACATGGAAAGGAAAATCTCGAAAACCTCTCATGGTTAGCCTAACGACAAGGGAACTTTTATCCATGATGCGTCTACCACAGAGGATATTTTACGTCAGCACTGTGGTCGGTGCAAGTCGGATGCAGAATTCCTATCGACCAGCCCATAGCTGAGATTTGTCCCCGTTCACCAATTGTGGAAGCCTTCCCCTACATGCTCTAAATTGAAGCAGTTGGCTAAAATTCGCCAAAAAGGATATTTTCCCATGGGTATCGCCAAGTCACAATTTTACAGCAACCAAGCTACTGCCATGTGGGGGGGAGGGTGCTCTGGATTCAGTGGGAAGGATTCTTGCACTCTCATCTGCAACTGTACTTCATTTTGCAAGATATTCTCTACCCCAGGCTTCATTTTCTTCCTCAAAAAAGGAACCGAAACTTCTCTCGAACTAAACATTGCTAAATTTTAATAGCAGAAGAAAATTAATATTAAATATAGCATTTTATTAAATATGCTCCAAAATTGCTTTTTTGTTACTCCAAAAATGCTTCAAAACCATGTTTTGCCACTTGCACCACTTGTTATTTATTGCATACCTAGATCTCAATGACGAGACGCAAAAGTGTAAGTAGTCGTTCTTTTGGTACAATAGTTAGTCTTTGCCTACCATCTCTCTAACCGGGAATCTACTGTTTGTCTACGATAGGTACTCTGTCCGCCACAAAGTCTGCGGCAGTCTGGTGCTATGGAAACAAGAAGAGAGCATTTTAGGGAGGGTGGCTTCGATGAAGAGGTCTCCTTTTCTTTCGCCTTCGATGATAGCTTGTATGGGGAGTATACCAGATTGGCTGACTCAGCCACCAGTAGGAGACTTATTTAATCTGATTCAAGAACTTTTTTAAGATTCGCATGAATATTTCTTTCTTACTTAAAATAATTCTCTCGATTCAATCAGTTGTTATTTTTTAAATACAAAGGAAAAAAAGTGAACAAATTCTGACATTAAGGGTAGTACAGGTTTTTTTAATATTACTTTTTAATTTTACGATATTTATTATGAATGTTCATTGATTGTTAGATGGTTTAATTTCTAAACTTGCACATTTTTTAAAGCAGTTAATTTCTTTTATTACTTGAATTTTCTGGAAAAAGTGAAGAGCTTAAACTTAATAACTCTGATTTTAAAAGGAGATAAAACTTTTGCTGAAAATAAAAATAGTTCACGTTATCTGTGCCGGAGAAATATTAAATATCTTTGTTTTGATTATTAATTTTTAAATATTTTATTTATTTATTTATTTATTT